AAGTTTTAATAGAAAAAATCTTGTTAAATCTATAATAATAAAAATATTTTTAAGAATTTGAACTTTAAGTCTTACTGTATATTCTTCTGTTTTGCTTTTAGTCTGATCCTATGGCTTATCTGATGGTCCCATATTATCCAAGGGCAAACCTGAGTGCTATTCAAGCCAGTATGCCTTTAACTTCAGAGGTAAGTTTGTTGGAATGAACTGTCCAGTCAGAACTGACTGATAGCTGACCCACCAGTGGGTTTTCAGAGGCAGTAAATAGCATGAGAGATTTCCCATTGTTCTTCTGCAGAGGAGCTAGTGGCTTGAATCATGAGTCTTTGGGTTGGTAGTGCATTTCCTTACCACTAAGCCACCAGAGCTCCGTAAATGAGAAAAATCACACCTAATGATTATTGAGGGCATATTTTAATTCTACATGATATATGCTGTGCAGTTTTTTTTATTTGCATAATTATATTTATTGGCTGTACCCACTTTGTGTTGTGAATTAGCCCATTTTACAGTATAAGAGATTTACGTAGGATCCTCGAATCAGAGGCAGAAGTTGAAACTTGATCTTTGATTTTTTTTGTTCCAAATACAATCTCTGGTTCTCAAGACAGTGCTTGTAACTAGTAAGCTGACTGATAAGTATATCTGTAGTTATGTGCCATTGAATTGGAACTGGCTCAGAGCTGACTCCTCAGTGTGTTTTCAGAGGCCATAAATTGCACAGAAGGAAATTGTCTTTCTTCTAAGGAGCCATACATGAATGTGACCTGTCTGCCTTTGGATTGGCTGCATAACTAGTGCTTAAATGGTGTAAATGGTTTACTTACTTGAATACTAATTAAATTACTGAGCATTAAGAATACATGCAGATGTGCCTTGGAAGAGAGGTCAAGTGATTTTTTTTAAAGCTGTTGCAAACTCTTACGTAGTTCTATTTGAAATGCAATATCAGAATTAACAGCTGTGAGTAACTATGAGCCAGAATTAACTCATTGGTGACTAAGAAGAACAACAATTTTAGATATAGTAAAAATAACAATGACAACATAGAGCTGTGTTGGCTTAGTGGATAGAAAGTTCTGCTACCAAGCCAGAGATGGGTGATTTTAATCTGTGGCCCTCTGGCCTGATTTTAATTGTTTTTGGTCAAACATTCTTCTAAGTGGTATAGCACTGGTCTGTGCAGTGCTGTACAGAGGTAACTTGTGGTTGCTGTGATGCTAAAACTGTGACACTGATGTGCCAGATGTGATAATGTTACCCATGGTGGACAGGGTTTGGTGGAGTTCCCTGATTAAAACAAGCTTAGAAGCAGGGGTGGCATCCACTTCTGAAATAGCTTGCCTCCAACTCTATGAACATGGAGGAATGACCACAGTTCTACAAGTGTTTAGGTCTTTCATTCATAGGGTTGCTGTGAGTTGTCCATGACTCAACACTTAACAACAACAACAATAGTAATAAAAGAGGTCTTGCACCACCTAGTAACAATATTTCTGATTCTTGTTGGGTTTTTCCCCTTGATAACTTTGTATGATCTTTAATTTTAAATTTACATTTCTTGTAGAGAGTAGAATCCACTAGTTTGATAATTAGGACTTGATCCAGCTTTTGAGTCTTCTCTGTGCTCTATTATTAAAGTATCACTATGGAAGAAATTTTAATCACTTTAAAAATAGTCTTTTATTTAGGTGGTTTATGTATTAAAACGATTTTCTGCTTTGTGACTTTTGTGTATATTTGTTTATAGGAGACATTAAAGGTCATGAAAGGTGTTGCCCAGGGGCTGTGTACCTTGCACAAAGTTGGCATTATTCATGCATCACTTCATCAAAACAATATATTTGCATTAAACCGGGAACAAGGAATTATTGGAGATTTTGACTTCACCAAATCTGTGGTAAAATAGCATTTAAAAATAGGTTTTAGACATCATTTAATAGCATCAGGCAGTAGTTCAGTACTTAAAGATGATTTTTTTCCTTAAGGTGATTTTTTTCCTTTGTCAAGTTATATGTCAAGGTATTGGTTAAAGTATTATGTGGTATAAGCAATTATCTGTTATCAATACTGTGTGTTTTAATTATAAATATTAAGAGCCTCATGATGTTATAGTTAGTTGCATTTAATAATAATAATAATAATAATTTTTATCATCACCAAGAAATACAAAGAAAACCAGTGAGCCATCTCCCTGCACTTTTCTGTTGCTGTTCATTCCCTATTAGCCTGGATTGCATTTAGAAATATGTACTTTATGTTGATTAATAACTAATATTAAAAGCCCACCTAGGATTCTTGTAGTTTTCTAATTAAGTGGTTGCTAATTTGGTGCTACATTAATGCAGAACAGGCAGTTTATATAAAGAACATGCTGCAATTTTTTTTCTTGGTAATTAGATTGTCTCAAAATATACATGATCATGACAAAGTATTTCCGTTTTAAAAATCAGTATCCTTATTGACATAAAATTCACATAATGAAAAGTTTACTTTTGAAATATATGTTACTGTGTCAGAACTGACCTGTAGCAGACCCTACCTGTGGGTTTACAGAGACAGTAAGTTGATGAGAGAAAATTCTTTCCCTGTGGAGTAGCTGGCGGGTTTAAACCACATGCCTTTGGGGTTGCAGTGCAGTTTCTTACCACTAGGCCACTAGAGCTGCCTATCGAAATACATAACCTCAGTGGCTTTTGGTGTATTCATACAGTTGTATGTTGATCACCATTATCTAATTCCATAATATTTTTATTTTCTGAAAAACCCCATATGCATTAACAGTCTCTCCCATTCTCCTTCAATCCCTGGAAACCATTAATTTACTTTCTTTTCTCTTATGAATTTGTCACTTCTGAACATTTTATGTAGTGGAATAATGGAAATATGTGGCCTTTGTGATAGACTTTCTTTCGCTTAGTATTTTGTGTTCACTTGAATGGCAGAACTTTATTCCCCTTTCTAATGGAATATTTATTTGCATGAATTTGCCATGTTTTATTAGTTCATCAGTTAGTAAACATCTTGGTGAGTTGTTTTTACTTTTAATAACTGTGAATATTACTGTTGTGAACATCATATACAAGTTTTTGCGTGGCCATATATTTTAATTATTTACCATTTTACATTCCCACTAGTAAGTAACATGTCAGATTTCCAGTTTTTCCGTATCCTAGACAACACTTGTTACTACCTCAGCAGTTGCCCCTGATATGTATGCATTATACTTTCGTCATTTGCAGATTGTAGGGTAATACAACTTTGTATATATGTAGTAGTAGAAGTTTTCATATATTCAAAACTCGTTGTAAAATCAGATCCAACTTGTAACTGATACTCCAGTGGACTTTCAGAAATCACATGGGAAGGAGCTCTGGTTGCCTTGTGGTAAGAAGCTCTGCTGCAATCCTGAAAGCACTCAGTTCAAATCCACCAGCTGCTCTGCTGGAGAAAGATAACAATCTCTTTGCTCCAGTTAACTGCCTCTCAAAACCCACTGGAGGCTAAGCTATGGGTTGGTTCCAACTCACTGGTACACAGCAACCACAGCAGTTGGCATGGGAGGAGTTTGTCCATCTTTCTCATGTGCATGATGATTTCAAACTTTCTACTCACTCATTAGGCTACCAGAGAAAATATAAAAATAAATTACCAAACGATGCAGAATTTATTGAAAATTGAGTTGTTGTAATATTTATCTTATTACATGGATTTATTTGTAAATTAAGACATCCTAAGACAAATACCTACATTATGAGTTTAAAAAGATACCTCAGCTTTTCAGGAGATACTAGTTAGTTTACCATTTGTGTATTTAATTCACATAACAACAGAGACATATCATCCTATGAATAACTTTACTTCCTTTAATATGTCATCTCTTACTATCCCCAAAACATTAAAATTACTTATTTTGAAGTTGATGAAACTCAGCTTTTGTTCCATTTATCAAACCGCTTTCATATTGAAGTATTACTAACAAGGAAGAGAAATTTGAAAAGTAGTTTATAAACCACACCACTGTTTAGTTTTTCATATTTTAAAGGGCATTTATTAATGTAGAGATCTTAATAAAATGCAAATTTTTTACTCTGTGTTTCTAACAAGCTCTAAGGTTATATAGATGCTTTGGAACACACTTTGTGAAACAAAAGTATATGGAAAGAAGATAATGAACAATGATAATTAACAATGATAATTGTGTTAATTACCTTTATATTTTAATAATTTTATAAGATGTTACTGACATTTAAAAATAAGTTGAGGCTTAAAGAAGTTTTAAAACTCAAGGTCACAGAAGTATGTAGTAGACCTTAGACAAGATTTGAATCCAGGATTGATGTTCCTGTCATTGATCATTCTGTGACAGTATTTGAAATATTACACTAAGGATTAGTAAGAAATGGGAAGTACTGTGTAGAATTTAAATTTATTTCAGTCTAGAATTTTGAAATTTTAGTGTTTAGGATTAGGAAATAATAATCTGTTTGACAGGGTTTTTTTTCTTTGCTTTTTTTTTAACTGAAAAGTAAGTTCGTGGTTTTGATTCTACTTAGGCTGTGTTGTAAATACAAGTATCAGTATCAATATTATGAAGCTAGTATTTAACTGTTTTTAATAGAAATTTAAAGTACTTGATGCAAGAGAAGAAGAAATATTTTTCACTGAAATTATTTGTAAAATATAAAATAAAATTTGTCTTAATATAATAAGATTAGTTAAAATAAAATTGTCTTTTTATGTGTGGATTGAACACAGACTATTTTACAAAAAGCTAACTCAACTGTGTTGTACTAAAGTATTTAACATAACCTGCTTTTGTAGAGTCAGCGTGCCTCAGTGAATATGATGATTGGTGATTTGAGTTTGCTATCACCTGAACTAAAAATGGGAAAACCTGCTTCTCCAAGTTCAGATCTCTATGCTTATGGTTGCCTTTTATTGTGGGTATGTTACTTTTTTACTAAAATAGATCACACTTATGTATCTATTTCCATTTATAAAGTGATACTTTACATAGAATGGTTCTCCTCAACATATTACTCTGGATAAAAAGCAGTGTAATTAGCTAGTAGAAAGTGAGGTTTCTGTTGAGTTTTATTATAAACCCTTAATTTATACCTGTCCCTTTTAATTATTGGTATACTGTGTGCTTTTTACCAACTGACTTGATGATTATTCTAGATGTCATTATTGTTGTTATGTGCTCGTCAAGTCACCTGCAATTCATAGTGACCCAGTGCACAATACCACTGAACCCTGTTCAAACTATCCTGAGTCAATTTCACTGTCACACCTGCTCCCATTACCCTAGTCTTTGTGTCAATCCATCTCATCCTGGATCTTCCCCTCTATCATTACAAGCATAATGTCCTTTTCCAGGGACTGGTCCCTCCTGGCAACATGTCCAAAATATATGAGATGGGGTTTCAAAATCCTCGCCTCCATAGGGCAGCTTGGTTTCATCCTCTCTAGGACAGACCTCTTTGTCAATGGTATGTTTCATACTCTTCTCCATCACCATAACTCCAAGACATCAGTTCTGTCATCTTTATTCATTGATGCTCAAAGGCATCAATCCTCATTCTATCACCCCTACTCATTGTCCAGCTTTCTGAAGCATAGCAAGTAACTGCAAAGTCCAGGGCCTGGATCAGGTACACCTTAATCTCTAGACTGACTTCATTGCTTTTCAGCACTCTGGAGAGGTCCCTGACTGACAGCATACTTTCCTAATTCAGTCTGTCTTTTGATTTCCTAACTGCTGGTGCCAAGAATGTTGATTGTGGAATCAGGCAAGCTGATACTGATAAGATACTCAGTATTTTCACCATCCATCCTGGTGCTTCCAGTTGTGTTGAATTTGTTACAAGCAAGATTAGAAAGGAACACAATATGCCCAACATTTAAAAGAAATCTCTTAGGAAGTCTATTCCAATCCATAGTGAACCTCCATCCACTTGCCAAGGCTGTAAATCTAATGGGAGGAGACTGCCCATTTTTCTCTTGTGGTGTGACTGGTGGATTAAAACTGCTGACCTTTTGGTTAGTACTCTGACACATTGTGTCCTATACCAATGGGACTCTTTGTCCTATATTTATGAGGAAATAATTAATGCAAATAAGGAAAAGAAATGTTTAATGAATCTTAAATAAGTGTTCTCTGCTTTAAAATGTAAGCCAAATAATTTTATCTATAATTAAGTTTGTTCTTCCTATGATTCATGAGGGGTCAAGAATTAACAAGACAAGGATGACTATTCCTTCTTCTGTCCAATATCGCACTGGAGGTTCTAGCCCAATGAGTCTTTACACAGATGCAAATGATCTAATTCCTATGCATACCATCAGGTGAAATCCGTGTGTATAGTCTGCATTTATGTTTCTTATAAAAAGTATTTGCAAGGAATAAGTCATTGAATATACAGAATTTTATCATTCTGTCTCCAGCCTCATTTCTGTCAAGATGTCCATGTTTTCCAACTACTGATCCTCCTTTATTCCCAGCGTTTATATCCCTTTTTGTATTCCAGTTACCTATTATTAGTAATAGTTAAAATAATAATAGTTATTATTGTTGTTATGTACTTTCAAGTTGCTTGTGACTCATAGCGACCCTATGTACAAGAGCCCTAAACCTTGCTGTATCCTGTGCCAACCTCATTGGCTGACACACCTACACCCACTACCCCAGTCACTGAATCAATCCATCTCATCAAGGGTCATTATTTCCTGCGCTGTCACTCCACTCTCCAAAACATAATGACCCTATCCAAGGACTTGGTTCCTCCTTGCAGCATGCCCAAAGTATGTCAGATGAAGCTTCAGAATCCTTGCCTCCAAGGAGCATCCCGATTTCACCCTCTCTAGGGCAAACCTGTGTGTTCTCCTAGCAGTCCATGCTATATTGAACACCCTTCTCCAGCACCACAGCTCAAAGGCATCAATTCTCTTTCTGTCATCCCT